ATTTCGCTCGATTAAACTAGAATTTTGCTCACGTGACCAGCCGCTGTTTCTCCTGCTTTTGCCAGACCAGTTGATTCAGCGCGAAACCAACGAAAAACCTTACTTCGAACACTCCAAGGAGATGTCGTCGATTGTTGTGTGTCGACGGTCGTGGTACAGAGACTGTCACGCACCGTCACATCCTAGATAATCTTGGTTCCCGCGCACGTGACGGGCGAAATGAGATGGCAGGTCAAATCCAGGGAGCTGCAATCACAGGCTGCACTCTTCACCTGATTTGTACTGTGACAGATGACTCGCTCCCATGGAAAAGGTTTCAAAAAAAACAACGACCTGGTCATTCAAGGGTGAGAGTACTTTTTGTGCGAATGCCACGGCCTGGAGAAAGCTGAGTCCGCCAGCAGAGAGCCCGTACAACACTAGACACCGGAGAGTCACATTCAAAATGCCGTCAACGGAGAAACGAATCATCCAGCCCGATTGGCACGATAACCACGTTTAAACACGTACAGAAGCGCTCTCAATCCTAATTTATTCCTGTGGGATGACCTCCCAACCAATAATACAGGAGCTTGTTTCGAAGATGACGGAGAGAAACCTCCATAGGATGGCGGCTCAATGTAATATAGTTCTCTTTGAAGACGAATGTCAGGTTTGTCTGTGGGGGGAAGAGTCCCGTTGGAGGATTGTCATGTAAACGTTTATCTTGATGGAAAGGTTCCCACCCGCTGCTGGGATTCGAACCCAGGGGCCGTAACTACATTGCGGACCATTTCGTCCGCTGGCTGATCGCTCATATTTCCACTCGTTCCTAGTCCACTTGTGAGTCTTAGTGGGGCCTGGTGCCAAATTTCGCTTGCTGCGAAATCTTACAGTTGTGAGGATGAACACGATTTCATCTAGATTAGTCCTTTCCCTAGTTCATCGTTCCGATCCACTGTCGCTATTAAGATTGTGACCGTTCCTAATCGAAGTTTCATCCTGCAAAGGGAATCAAGTTACAAGTTACAAGTTACACTCATTTGCAAACTAATTTCATCCTTCGAGAGACTCACCTGAAACCCAGCTGAATCTCTCGCTTGTGATGTTCTCAAGCAACTGAATGTGCTGCACCAGGCCGCCTCATGCTTCGTTCGTACTTGTTCGAAATACTTGACTAGCCGCCAGGAATCTCTCCCTCACTGTGAGTGCCTTCCGGTGGTACGACAAAGATAAGTTGTCAAGCCGGAAAAAGTACATTTTGTGACTCAACCAACCGGAAAACGCTTAGAACTCATTGATGAACGACCGCTTCAAAGAAGATTGATTGATGATGAAACCATCTGAGTAGGCTACAAAATCCCTGGGTTTTCGACCATCAAGGACCTTTGTAAACAACACAATTGATGGTCAACCCTTAACCCTAAACAACACTATATTTCCGCCGCGATGTCAATCTACGTAATTGCAATGGTTTACTTGAAGGATGGTGTGAGAAGTCACTGGTTTCCACAAGTTCCTGTTATCTTTGAATGTTAACATCACATCGCTCTCGGCTATGTGGTTGGCAGTCATAAAGCCATGAAGCTAAGCAACCTAATGCTTTCATGGGATCCGTTCTAAAAAATTTCCCCAGTTGCCTTCTGTCCCAAAGCCTCAGGACATAGAATTTTCCCTGAAACATAAGGAAAAATTTCACGACTGACTCAGTAATCCTCCTTCCCTCTTTGTCACTTAGCTTGGCGGAACCCTAGGCCAAAACCGTCTAAGCACTCGCACTTGGGCCAATAAGCCCAACACTCACACGATTGGTCAGAGGGTCGGGTGGTCGGACAGTCCAGTATCAACGAGAACTTTGATTGGTCGAACATCCGACAGCCAATCACGTTCTAGTATCCACGGATGCCGGTTGCAGGTGTCGCCTCCAAAAGGCGTCCGAATCTCCAGAATGTCATTTCACGCTCTAAACATGACGCGCTCGCTTAAGGTTTCTAAAACAATCGGTGTACCCTTGTTCGTTTTGCTCTAAACGAAAAGGATCGGACCGAGAAGTAAGCTGAGGCATAACTGCCTATCCAGATATCTTCCTCAAATAATTCCGGTGGATTCCCTCCTGACTAAACCCACTTCTATCGAAGTTCAAATAATCACAGGCTCTGGATGTCGCATGCTTGAAGTCCCTATGGTTTTTCATTTCTTTGCAGCTGGATTTCCTGCTCCACTGTACTTTCCAAACTGCTCCAGAAGTACGACTATCTTTTATTCAGGTCACTGAAACGTATTGACCAGCGCAGTGGAACAATAGTGGATATCTTTGTGGCGAAAACACACAGTAACCTTTGATAACTCTTATCCAGTCATCCTGTCTGACAGTTTCAGCTCCCAAAAATCGTCAGAAATTCAAGCCATGTTTGTACACTGCTGCAATTTCTCGTTGTACTGCACTTACCTACATGGTGCGATGCCTCCGCAATATTTAATTTTTGTTGTGAGTCCACATTTCTGCATGTCTCTTTCTATACGTTATCCAAACTTCTCTCAAATTTACAATTCGTATACTGGGAATCGTCGCATAGGTGCGTAGACTTTTTCATTTAACTTGGAGTTCATTGATATTCATGAACCCTGAACTACAGAGCATTGGATCGCACCTGAAAATGTGGTATCAGCCCATGCTAATTATCGGCTAATTGTTTGATTAGATGAATGAATAAGGCGTCAAAAGTACTCGTTATCCGAAAGCTGGTAGTTCAGGCAATTGGAACGTGATGCAACCAGCCAATGACGGCATCCTCCTCGAAGGCTGTCTTCGAGGGTCCTGTCTGTCTGTCCTCTAGACCCCATGGAAACCCTTCTGCCACTTGTAGCACACAATTACCAAAAGGGTAGAGAGCACAGAGTTGTGTGAGTAACTCTCATAAACGTGTGGTTGTGACATAGAACTTTTAATTTAGAATCGTGATTGTTTACCGGTATATGAGAAGATAATAATACATAGATACAAAAATACCTAACGCATACGCGGTGGAGATTTGACTTTGTGTGCGTGTGTGTCTGTATGTGTTCAGGTGATAGCACATCCACGTACCGACGCAAACTAGCACGCGCGCGCACGCACGCACGCACACATACACACATAAACCGACTCAAACGCAAGAGTGACAACAAGTCACCTGACGGGGCCTGGCTCTGATGGCGCAGATCGATATCGAGTTCTTCTGCTGGGGCGAAATCGGTAGCTCACTGCTGTGATGGGTAGTATGCGTGTAGGTGGTCGACCATCTTCGGGACAAAATCTTGAACGATCTACGAGAAGATAGCTGGTAGCCTAGATTTGCTCAGTCGCGTTACGTCCGAAATAACAGATGAACATCTTTAACTGGGAGAAGGGGGAGAATCACGAACAAGGACCCACTGTTAGTCGAGTGTATCGTGGAGCATAGGTGTAGTACAGGCTAGAACAGCAGCTGAGACGTTCAGATAAGTTGACACGTTTCCAGGGATTTGAGAGAGTACCCCGTCGCCACATTTTATTCGTACGCACTGCAAAAGCTGGTTCCGACTTGATCGATTGTGATTGATTGTCACTTTGGTCTCGTTGTCTTCAGAGGTGAAAAATTGCACATTCTTGCTGGGTAAGTCTAACGTGAACGAGGAGTGCGGTGTAAAGGTAGACGATGACAGAAAGTTGAAACCGGATGAATAAGAAGCGTCCTTGCTGATATTTGTTTCCTCACCATGCGAATCCGTGCTTTTATTGTGTGTGTGTGAGTGTGTGTGTGTGTGTGGAGGAGGAGGCAGTGGGCGCTTAGTTCTTTGGATCAGAAAAAACAATGAAAATTGGCTCGAACCAAAAACAAAGAATCGAATTAAAAGAATACGCGGAACGTAAAACAAAATGGCGGCTGTCGGTCCGTGTGTCTTGGCTTTGGGCTAGACAATAAAAGGGCTCGTTCTGTGGATGATCGCAGAAAAATATGACGAAACATCTAGGATAAATTGTAGGCAAGTAAGAGAAAAATAAGGGGTCTCCTCACCAAGTCCAAACAAGCCAGGTCAAATGATGCTTGAACAGGCGCAGGCACGCGAAAACACACGGGCGCATGGATGCACACGCACGCACGCAAAATGGCAAGTTTGTGAACGATCGGCACGTAGTCGATTGCGCGATTTGGGCGTGTTAGAACAGCCAATTTGAAATAGTAGACTGTTAGTAGACTTGTTCTAGCTGTACATAAATAAAATCAATAGACTAACCGACGTGAAGCACAGCACATTGATTTCAGGGGACTTGCAAAAACGAAATTGCACACAAGCAGACAGAATGTGAGAATAGTCGGTCCGTACGGATTCAAACGCGTAACGAACGAACGATCGACCGAACGAACAAACATCTGGTTCCCAACTGTGCAAAATAACAGCACCACATGTATGCATCTGTAGGATAACTGGCATAAGGCGTCAACGGTGAGAACAGAAATCGGCGAGGAAGGAAGATCACAAGCCATTGGGTGAACAGGAGTTGATGGGAGAACCAGATGTACCAGATGTCAAGATGAAAGGATGAGATGCATGCTCAGGTTTTTGGGTGCGGGATCGATGCTTGTTTGGTCGACAGGGCTATTAGCATAGATAAAAAGCAACCGGGATGAGCCATGAGTCATGATGATTCTGTTCCACACGAAGTTGTGATGTGTTTGTTTATCTTGATGGGAAAAAATGACCAGGTCGAATGAGAAAAAAAGGTGTGTAACAATAAATAGGATGACAAGAAATTCTTCCTTTTTACAATTTGTTTGAAAGCGTGTCAGTATGGTGTATGGTGGTGAAGCACGTTTCCTAGGTGATCGGATGAACAGGTAATATAATAGCATTAGAAAAGATTCTTGGTTTCAACTACAGAGAGGATCGTAAAACGCGTTGCGGTTCTTTCGGGTTTGGCGATGGGCGAATCAAATTTTGAGTGGAGCACCGGAAGGGATAGTTGACCATCTTTCGATGGAGGCTTTGGAGGGCGCCAACTAAAACTGGAAGCCGTGAAAATTACACACTGCTGACGCTGGAGCGGTCGGAGTAATGGATGATCCGTGATCAGCATCGCCTACGGGGTGTTTCCCCGTTTGTGATGAATTTGCTGATTTTTCCGAGGTGAAGTCATTTGAAGATGCACCGGTAAGAATGGGACTGACGATACTTGGTGTGCTACTACTGGGACCGCTGGCATTGCTGCTGTTTCCAGATAGATGTCGACGATCAGGATCTTCAAACATGGCTTCATGTGGCAACGAGGGGTGCCGATAGTAGTCGGCATTGGGAAAGGCACAGTGCGGTGACTGATTCGTTTGTTGCTCGTATTCTGTCGGATGTTGCGGGACACAGTGATTACGTCTTCGACGTTTCGGAGATCCCAAAGGTGAGGACTGAACACTTTCCACATCATTTGGATCGTTGGTGGTCAAGTGGACTTCACGTGAGAACATTTCCCGCTGTTCACAAACTTTGCTAGAGGACTTTTGGAAACGTGATTCGTCTGGAGCGTATTGGCGCCAGGTAGAGTCAAGATAGAACGGTATGTTCATCAACCCAACCGATTTCGATCCGTCCACGTGCGGAGTGGCTTGATTTTCTAGAGCTCCGCGTCGTTGAACCAGGCCGCTAAACAGAGCCTCGGCACGTCTCTGCTCGGCTGTTTTGTGTAGCTCTGCAGCGGACAAGGCTGAGGCAGATTTCGGTGGTATCAATTCTTTGCACGCCCAACTTGACCGTATCGGATCTTCGGCATCCGCAGTTGTGTCCGGATAGAACATGTTTCTGCTGACCGAGGATGATGTACCGAAAAGACCTGGAGACGCGCGCATATTACTGGTGGTTGTGGGCAGATGATTCAGTGTCACCTCAGAAGAAGAATGCATTTCGATAGATAGTGGGGAACTGTTGGTACTGAGTTGACGTTCTCTGGAAAAGCTACAGCGGTTCTGGTAGTCTTCTGCTTTGAGCGAGATATCCACTCGGCCAGCTGGTGGCAAACCTGTCATTGAATCATCCTCGATTACAGTAGTAGGTGAGTGGAGCATGGACGGTTCATCTCCGCATCCCGAATGGTCGTTTTCAAGCTCCGCTCTTGGACGCATTCTCGTGTTTGGTAACATTTTCGCCAACTCTGACACAACACAAGAATTGGGATTTTGTTCCACCGCGCCAGTTTCAGACGTGGAAAGCAGAGGTGTGGACAACGGGTTGGTGGCCGAATTCGAATCAAGCTTCTTGGGTTTATCGTGTCGTGACACGTTGTCATCTTTGATAATCTGTGAGTTCCCCCCGGAACAGGATGATGAGTCTGGACTGACCGATCGACCGTTGCCCAAAGACACATCCACACGAAGTACACCGGGTCGTTTCGTTCGGATGATTTCCGAACCCGTTAGAAACGAACTGTTACTCAGCTCATTGGTTCTATGCTTTTGTGGGTTGGGCAAAAGGTAGGCCCCTGAATCCTCGCCCTGTCCACCATCCGAGGTGACAAAATCATCCGCGACTTTGTGGTTAGGTGTAGTTTGGGGTGGGGTACGGCTTAGCAATTTCGTTCCATCGTCCACTGTCCTCTTACCATCTCCCAGTGGCAATTCAAGGCCTGGTGAGTTTTGCGGGGACAAGGGTGGAGGGTGCATCATGTAAGCCGACAGTCTATCGTTCGTCGCATGCTGTGAAGTTACCTGACTCGAGTCCGCCTTGGACGCAACAGAGCCAGAATTCGAATTCGATTGCCCTGGAGGAATCCGACCGTCGTAATTGTCGTTTATCGCACTGGTTTTGATGCCGTATCGATTAGGATCTAAACGTCCACTTCTGTCGGGTTCGAACGTCTCCGGATCCAAACGAGGACATTGCTGTTGGTGAGCGGGAGGTGGATCATCAGCTGCGGTCTCCACCGTTTCCGAACGATGTGTTCGATGAATTCGCTGTTGGTTGGAGTCCATATGAGAAGCTGGATTTCCGTAGTGCTCCGCTGCATCGTTTGGTGACGAGGACGTGGTGGAAGATGGACCAAGATGTTGTTTTGTGCTTTGCATCAACGGTTGTGATTGGGTCAAGTTGAGTAACTGTTGATCGGCGCTTCCCATACTCGGTGACTCAACGTACGGAGGGTGCGGTGAAGGAGTGTGATTGACCGAAGCACTCAAACACCTGGAAGGGTGTCTGTTGTCCAAAACCTGTCCACTAACGTTGCGCTTTGAGCTACCATGAAGTTGTGTTGAGCTGTGGTGTATGTCCGCGGAATACTGGTCCGCATGACCCAAACCAAACGAAGTTTGTGGCTTGAATTCCTGGAACGGATTGGCCAAATGCGACAATTTGCCAAACGCCGCGTTGTGCTGTTGTTGCTGTTGATGATGATGGTGTTGAGCAGCGGCAGCAGCCATCAGATGAGCTGCCCGAGAGTTGTGTATACCCGGAATGCGCGGGAATAGATCGTTGTCAGGCAGGTTACTGTAGTTCACCGGGTCGCTGTGTAACCCGATGCCGCTGGTGTCCAGTCCCGCCTCTCCCATGGAACAGGCAGCACTGTTGAAAAAAGGTCTGGTCATCGGATCACCGCGGTTTCCGACATTTCCGCCTCCCGAGACTGCTGCTGCCGCCGCAGCACACCGAACTGCCGCAGCCACAGCGGCGGCAGAATGATGACGTCCTTGAAGGTTTGAATCAGGTTTGGTGTGCGCTCCCCCAAGACTGAGAGCGGCCGCTGCTCTGGCCATTGGATTGGCGTGAAAACTGGCAGCGAACAGATCATCAACAGACGACGACTGAGTTCCAGGAAGTCTGGAACTATCAGCCGGAGCAGTGTTCGCAGCTTCTTTGTGACGGTCCATGTGCTTAGCCAGGTACGTCTCCGAATTGTAGCTCTTGGTACATATCGGACATACAAGCACCTAGATATAAGAGAGGGATGACGGGAAAAAATTGAAGGATCAACATACAAAATGGAACTCAGGTTCAAAATGTCGGAGTGTAGTGAAAGCCACCAAACTGAGGTTTGTCCCACCAGGCCTCCAACTAGAGTAATGCTCCATAAAGCTGTATAAACCTATATATTGATTCGGACCTAAAGTATGCCATGAGTCAAAGGGGTCAATCTAGATGCGTTTCACCATAGGAGCATAGACGTGCCCATCTGGAGACCTCTGAAATTCGTAATGACTACAAAATCTTGGCGAAATGCACTCATTTGCAAACCAAATTGGTTTTGTTGGAGACTCACCTGGAATCTCTCGTTTATGATGTTTTTCAGCAATTGAATGTGCTGCACCATGCCGCCTCATCATATATTAGGGGTTCAGCTGGGTTCCAGGTGAGTCTCCCGCAAAACCGAATTGTTTTGCAAATGAATGTAGTTGGCTCATTTCGTGCAATTTGGGTTCAAGCAGAACATAAGGTTAACGGTGGAAACTCAGGGACTGCCCTGATGAAGCTCAAGAAGGGGATGTCGAAGGATTTTCAGCAGGCTTATGAGTAGTGTATTACGTCTATATAAAATCTTGGTTTACTAAATACATCCAAATGTCCAGGAGGGACCGCCTTTCAGAACAAGCCACTTTAAACTAGCGCCTTTGAATAGATTCAATCAGCAAACCACCACCTAGAAGAGATTAGCCTCTAGTCTTCCGGGCGGTCCTTTCTGAAGCGGCAAATGATACATAGAAATTTCTGATCAACTGAATGTTCCCAAGTATCCCCTCCTGAGGGGGCATCTAATCAGTGTGAGGACGTCCCATATAAGCAGCACCAACGTAAAAACTGATGAAATATACACCGGCGAGAAGTGGCATCCCTCAGAGAAACTGTCTGTATAAGCTGTAGGACTGAGCCAAACGGCCAAATGGAAACAACCTACCTTTGCATATCGATTTCCAGAATGTTTGGCCTGAACATGCAAATCCAGTTCATCCTTGGTATCAAAAGACATGAAGCACTGCTCGCATCGATGGGGCTTTCCCTTCATATGTTGTCGTTGGTGCGACTGCAAGTTGGACATTTGGGTGAAGCTCTTCATGCAGGTGGTGCACCTGACAGAATGAAAGAAGGGGATGAGGATTTTCAGCAGGCTTATGAGTAGTGTATTACGTCTACATAAAATCTTGGTTTACTAAATACATCCAAATGTCCAGGAGGGACCGCCTTTCAGAACAAGCCACTTTAAACTAGCGCCTTTGAATAGATTCAATCAGCAAACCACCACCTAGAAGAGATTAGCCTCTAGTCTTCCGGGCGGTCCTTTCTGAAGCGGCAAATGATACATAGAAATTTCTGATCAACTGAATGTTCCCAAGTATCCCCTCCTGAGGGAGCATCTAATCAGTGTGAGGACGTCCCATATAAGCAGCACCAACGTAAAAACTGATGAAATATACACCGGCGAGAAGTGGCATCCCTCAGAGAAACTGTCTGTATAAGCTGTAGGACTGAGCCAAACGGCCAAATGGAAACAACCTACCTTTGCATATCGATTTCCAGAATGTTTGGCCTGAACATGCAAATCCAGTTCATCCTTGGTATCAAAAGACATGAAGCACTGCTCGCATCGATGGGGCTTTCCCTTCATATGTTGTCGTTGGTGCGACTGCAAGTTGGACATTTGGGTGAAGCTCTTCATGCAGGTGGTGCACCTGACAGAATGAAATAAAAGACCTCAATTTTAGCTACTTATGAGTAGTACAATTAAAACCACAAGTAAACTGGGCAAGCAAAAGTGAAGGTGAATGGCTCACTTTGTGTTCAATTTTTACCAATACGAAAATGGAATGAATGAGACAACGTCAAATGTTTGTACCGCGACAATGAGTAGAAATGAGGAACTATCAGTTCAAGCAGCTTGAAGTAGCCCTATAAACCTTTCGTGGTACATTGGGGTACGGAGTGGGGCGCATGGTGCGTAGTGCCATCATATACCCACGTTCTTTACATCCGCGTAGGTTCGCATTGCCCTGTCCCGTAAAACTACCGGTCACTCTGCCTCATGGAGCGAGGCTGACATCGGATGACGTGCAAATTCGTCCATTTTCGAGCGGTGCCGCAACCCGTATTCCACTAGACTGTCCACTCCCTGTGAGAGACGACAAAGATGTTGTGATTCTCGCAAAAAGAACATTCGTGTCGATAGGGATGGAAACAATTCCACCCTGAATTTACCAGAGCAACTCAATGCTTTCAGGCATCGTCCAGTAAGATTTGTCCGCCATATGGGACAGAAAATAGGTACACAGTTGTTACAAAGGTTCCTTCTAGCAACAGGTAGACATAATAAGGACAAGAACGTCATAAGTTGAGTGCTTTACGGCCGGAAACATATCAGGCAACAGTCAAGAAAACGCATATCTGCCTCCAAAATAGTTACTCCTTGGAAAATAGAAAAAAGGATAATCGAACAGTGAAGAAACAGGGCCACATTCTTCATTGTATGCGCTGAGAACTGCCGGGACGTGACATACTGAATCGTACCAATAGAACTGGCTTTCGTAAAACGAAAGTTTATCGGTCTATTCTAACTTGAAGCTGTGTCAGTAAATTGGATTGGGAAGCGACCATCGGAGAGGCTTGTCAATCTTGGTGGTTTTCGGCACATAAACTTAGTTCCAAATGGAAAATGATGGAGACTTGTACGTTTCTTTATAAGCAAAAATAGCATCGGTAAGGTCACCTCTCAGGAGAGTCACTTGAAACCCTGCTAAATCTCTCGTTTATGATGTCTTTTTAAGCGATATCTCGAATATAGTACTAATTGAAACATGAGACGGCCTGATGCAGCAGATTCAGTTGCTTGAAAACATCGTAAAGGTGAGATTCACCTGGGTTCCAGGTGAGCCCCCCTCCCTCAAAACCAAATCGATTTGCAAATGAGTGTATTCGTCGGAAGCAGCCCAATTTGAGTTCACCTAGAGCAAGGTTGACGGAAACTCGGGGAATGCGCCTACCTGATGAGCCCCAAGAAGCGCGAAACCGGTCGTTGGATGTCGAAGAGTCTTCAGCAAACTTATGAGTAGTATATACGCACACACTGCCTCGTATGGTTACGTTATTGTACAATAGTACCGGTGAACATCCAAAACTCGTCTTTTCAACATCTGTATTTAATATCGATCGCATAGAATTGATGTACAAGGAACCATATTTTGATCAAACTGCAGACCTTGTTCGGTGGGATGGGGGCAAGTCCTCGCCGTCGGTCAGGCCCTCGACAAGCACTGACGCGTTACTGACGTTGATATCAGACAGCCATAAGATGATTTCACATTTGATAATCAACACGGGCCTTCACTCTCCTCTGATCGCGCAAACCGGGTTTATTCATAACGATATCTGCCACCTCTACAAGTCATTCTGCATACTTGGTCAGTTTAACTACAATTAATCAACTAATAAATACATAAATAAACAAATACTGTCAGGACGCGCTCAGACAGGAAAAAAGCACATGTACGGAGAGTGACGCATCCCCAAGGTCACCATCGATTCGACACGTCCGGAAAGTAGGTGAGTCGGCGGCTCCCACCAAACACGGCTTAGCAACAGACGACCAGCGTAGTGGGCCTGAGGTTGTTCACGACCGGAACACCACCATTGGCTGCACGGAGCGAACAAGTGAACGACCATATTTGGCCAATTGGTCATCCTATATATTTACGCAGACGCTCTGTATGTTTTGTCCTGGCAATACAGCCGTGTCCCCAGTTCTCTGTCTTCTCCCTATCGCGTAGACTGGCAAGCTCAGTGCAGGCGTAACCAATAGCTCAGCCACCGCACGATACAACAAATAAACAATTAATAAATTAATAAATTAATAAGCCAGTCAATCAATCAATCAACCAGTTAGTCAGTCAGTCAATCAATCTAAATTAAAGATGTGGGCAAACCACTTTCGACGATTACTTCGAGCCCATAAAGTAATACGGGGCTCGACGATGAATATAAGCAAAGTTGACCAACGAGAATGGCAATTGAAGTGCCGAGATTGAACAACAGGGGCGAGATGGACGAAGTTCGTAGAGTGCGAATTCAATGACCGGAAGGTCTGTGATTCGAACCCGACACCTGCCTCTCGATTTCCCCTGTTTAGGCTTGGGAAACCTGACAGTATCCCAGCCCTCGTGCAACCTTCGGGTAGCATGGCAGTTAGGCACCAGAAGGGCGCTACAGCTGAAAGATTGAACAACAGATCGATAACCGCTTTTCGAAATTCACCAACGCCTTGGCTAGACCCGGACAGAAAATGTCAGCTGATTGCCTTACGCGAATTTCAATTCAATGAGCCCACAGGATTTCAATTGACAAGACATTGAAGAAGCGACATGAGCAAAGTCAACTTCCATGTTGTTGATAGAACCGGGAGATTTAGAGACTTCAGTCGAGATTTATTCCCACAAATGAAGCCAATCTATGGTGAAAAGCCAGGTCAACGTGTCGACAGACTTCTCAAGTGATGTGAATTCCCTGATGTCGTATCTTTACTTGTAGTTAATCACTGCTGATCAGTCGTTCGTGGCCGAACGGTTTGGTCTTCAACTGCTGACCGGGAATTGGTGGGTCCCCCTAGAGGTTCATGAGATGTGTTGCAGTCGGCCGATCCCGCCATCCCCCTGCGTGGGATGTTGTCGAATCATTGAGTATTCATAGGTTTATTTCACAACGCGAAGCGTTTCAAAATAGAGACAGTCTGTCCGACTCTGTCTGTTCTTGCAAGAAATCAATAATAGGCCAACAAATCCCCCATCTTACGCACCTGGCTACCTCCGAAATGGATCGATAGCTAAACACGTCCTCCGGTAAATTTTACCGGAAGCACAAATCTCTCCCATACATTCGGAATAGTGGCGACGGATTCATCATACTACGGCTTCGGGGACAAACACGTTCACACACGCGAATCCGATTGAAACGGTGGGAATTGCGATGATAAAGCGGTGCTGTTGATTAGGATGAATACGAACCTGTACACCGGAACAACAACTGTGCTGCTGTAGATGTCCTGTGAAAACGTGCACGCCTCATGTGTATCAGCGCAAGTTCAGTCTGCTGGCCACACCTCACATCACCGAGTTTTCGTCATACGCCTTGACGAAACCGGTTCACACGTCCTTCAAAACCATTAAGTGTACGGTGGGATGTGTGCGTGCTCGCGTGTTTTCCAAGTATCCGCTTCAATGGACGGTCTATACATGACGCCAAACTGTATTTTTTTTGTACTCGGAAGCCCACCCCCGCTCCGAGATGGTGTCCTTGTGGCGCCAGTCAATGCGTCGATGCCGCCGTCACAGAGGCGGGAGCAAAGTTACACCATCATATCATCCATTATGGTTAACTAAACTCATTAATGTGCCGTACTGATCGATTCTCTGCCCAACTAATTCTCTCTCGCGGTGGATTTTGAACCGGAGGCTGGTTTGATGTCGTCCAACTGGTTTTAGAATTCACTGACTGTGCTTGTGTCAGACTATACCAATGGGATATCCGTTTCTGATACGAGCAAATAAATTCGAGAGACAAAGAAAAAAGTACGGTTCACGAGAAATACACTCACTTGCAAATCAATTTGGTTTTCACGAGAGACTCAACTGAATCTCTCGTTTATGAAATTCTACAAATGTACACAGGCCGCCTCATGATTTAGTTGGCCGGATGTTCGAGATATCGCAGTATATTTTCATAGAGGAAACTACTCACAAGGTTGCTGAAAACTCTTCGACAGCCCACAACCCACTTCGCCCTTCTTGGGGCTCATCAGTTAGGCGCAGTCCCCGAGTTTCCGTCAAATTGAGCCTCGACTGGACAGATTTCGACAAATGCACTCCTTTCCGTATCAACCAGATTTTCACGGGAGCTCATCAGGTAGGTGCAGTCTCAGATTTTCCTTGTGAGTAGTTTCCTTTGTGAAAATATACCGCGATATCTTCAATATCCTGCCAATTGAAACATGAGGCGGCCTGTGTGCAGCACATTCAGTTGTAGAATACCATAAATGAGAGATCCAGTTGAGTCTCTCATGAAAACCAAATTGATTTGCAAATGAATGTATTTCTCGAAAACAGTCCAGTTTGGGTTCAAGTCGAACATGAGGTTGACGGCGGAAACTCGGGGACTGCGCCTACCTGATGAGCCTGAAGTGGAAGGGCGAAACCGGTCGTGGGCTGTCAAAGAGTTTTCAGCAACCTTGTGAGTAGTTTCCTTTATGAAAAGTACGCTTCACTTTTGATTTTTACAGACAACGCGGTTTTTTAGTGAATGAAATCGCAATTTTGGGTTAGTGTTTCAAACCCTTGTAGGTTTGATGTAAAGTAATAAGCCCTAAAAGATCCAGTGACGGGACCGACTAAAAGCGATCATTCCTGAGGGGCTCGAAGTCGTAGGTTGATTATGGAAACACTAAGTTTTGGTTTGAATCACTTGCCCCACTTTTCCCCACTCATTTTATGTCATCTTTTGCCTGATTGTTTTGCTATTGAACCACCAAAGTCAGATGGATCGCCATCCATCGATTTATACTTTATGCTCAGTCTAGCCATAATCCCTCCTTCCATTGAGGGTGGTAAGCGTTAGTTCGTCGCACTGCAAACAAAACGTTTCGTGGAGGTTGTGCGCGAACAAACAAGCCAATTTTGTTGAGTCTAAATCTCTTCAGTAACATTGTAGTAAGTTTCGTCTGATCCAGATGACCATGAACTTTGCACGTGATCCGTCTACCAGTGATTGGCTGAATAGGTTGACTAATCGTCCCTTTTTGGAAACATAAACGATGGGACCCCCCCCCTCCCCATTCTTGTGTTTGCATTACCAAGGCCCGTCATAATGCTTGACCTCCACGATGGCACTGTGTGATATGGACACACGTATCCCTGCCACTAATGCAAAAAGTGCATGTGCGAAAAGTTGAGCCCCGCCCTCTTTTCGCCAGCTCCAATTTAATGTACGCACATAACCTTGGCCTATCTTTGATGAAAACAATTCCATATCCGCATCTGGGCTCATTTTGTGCGAAAATTTCCTCCGTTCGGACGTAAAACCTTTAACGCTCGTTCATGNTTCAACTCTCGGTAATGACAAGGAGACGGCAATACGTTTTTCGCAAAACCAAAAAGTGATCCATCAGCAACGTTTATACAACAATGGTCATCAAATGACACTTTCAACTGTTCCTGACAGGTGGAGGTGTAATGCCCGACAGTGTTGACAAGAGGTCGGTCTTCGAAAGGGAACTTGGCTGGAGCCGTCTAGGATGGAGTTCAGGACACTAATTCTATTCTTCGTTTATTGCTGGTGCAAAAATTTGGCAAAAATCGAATTTTGCTCAGGGGAATTAATTATCTATTAACCACACGACCGCTGTTGACTAGAAGAGCTTTCTTCGCAAAGTTTGCGCCTTTGCGGCTTTTTCACACACCGACAGTTATCGGTGACCCAGGTCTACACGTGGAAATCGATGAAACGCTAATGTGCCGCCGTAAAAACCACGCAGAGCGAGTCCTTCTCCAGCGGTGGATTTTCGGAGGGATCTACCGGGAAACTAAAAAGAGATGTTCATGTATGCAATGCCAGATCGAACTGCGGCCACTTTGATGGGCACAATCCAGGTCTGCATCGCTTTCGGCTCAATCATCATCTCCGATATGTGGGCATCATACCAGGAATCCAGACGATGACTGATATGAAGTATACTCATGAAACGGTCAATCATATCGAAAACTTTGTGGATCCAACGACTGGAGCTCACACACACAAACCATCGAATCTCTTTGGCACGTCTACAAAATGCAGAATAAACGCCAATGCGACACATCGATCTTCAGTGGACAGCTACTTATGTGAGTTCATTTGGAGGCGAAGGTACCGAAAAACGGACCTTTTCATGCAAATGATTAATGCCATGCCCCAATTTCACCCACCCTCTTCAATAAAAACTAAAATTACAAATTTGATATCCTCTTTTTTCCAGTCTTTTTCGGGTGGCGGGGCTTATCTGGAATAGATCCCAGATCGGCCCAATGGCAGGAAGCCACGACATCAGTAAAAATCACATGGATACCATAATAAGATGTAAAGATCATACGTTTCGAGAGTTTCTAGCACTAGAGGGAACGTAAAACTAAAAGGGAAGAAGAGTTTGCTCCTGAAATAATAACGGACCAGTCAACAGCTCATATCTAATGTTCACCAGATGTCCTTTCCCTAACTGCGGTTAATTCCGCGTTTTATTTCAGGCAAGTTATTGAAAACCAAATTTATCTACATTTATTGAAGATGTCAGAAGTAATTCATTGACGTGTCCCTCAACAAAGTGGGAATCCGAGCAGTCCCAAGAGGGAGCCTCGTACTGTGATTGGATCAGTCCACTGAAAAGTGCATGTGGGAAGGAGACATGTGGTGCGACGCGACAACTGAATGGAACTCACCGATACGGCTTCTCTCCCGTGTGGATTCGCTCATGCTGTTGGACGTGGCTCAACTGGGTGAAATGTCTATCGCAGTAGTGACAAGCGTACGGTTTGACTCCTGTATGAATGCGACGATGTTGGGACAGGTAAGCCCCGGTGGTGAACTGACGTCCACATTGCTCACATCGATACGGTCTTGGGTCTTGTTTGTGAGTAGCGGCATTATGGGCAGACAGGTCGTGTCGGGAGAAACAAACCTGGGAGAGAGAGACCGGGCGAGAGAGCGGGTGCTAGACATAACGGATCAAATTAGATTCGGTTGATTCGACAGAAAGTGAATAGAGAGGGTCTACTGTCAACCACTGACCAGAATAGCGTGTTCCAGCGAGAATCGGTACAAGCCGGACCTGGCAATATCTCTTGGGATATCACCGTCAGTAGGTTAGACACTTGCGAATCGTAAACAATAAACAGAATGCGTCCAATCGAGATCTTAGCAACTGAGGTCATCCAGGAGGCGTTAGGATCTTCCGAGCAAATCAATTCATTATGAAATACCATCCAGAATAGTAGGGAAACGCTATGGTTATCGATCTCCCAGGAAATCTGCTGTGATTGCAGTCATCCGGATCTCTTCGGTCGAATTGATTTAAACAGCATTGAGCGTTAGTCCAGTCACGACAACAGGCGCTCCAACTGGCTTACCAAACCGACTGTTGAGATGAACTATGTACCACCAATAAAAGACTACATTAGCGAAATACACTCATTTGGGAACCAATTTCTAGGCGAGTCTCTAGCGAAACCAAACCGGTTTGCAAATGACTGTATTCCGTAAATTTCGCGTAACTCTGGTTCAAGTAGAACATAAGGTTGACCGAAACTCGGGGACCGGGCCTGACTGATGAGCCCCAAGAAGGGCGGAACCGATCGTGGGCTGTCCAGGAGTGACCTAATGAATGTGTTCTACCAGGAACATATGCTGCGATATCTCAGGGGACATGTGGCCGCCTTTGTGCAGCACATTCGGTTGGAGAAAGTTGTAAATGAGAGCTGCAAATCAGTTTTCCTTTAACACTAAGTTAAATTGCAAATAAGTGTATTTCATTAGTCGACAACTCGGTTCCGAATGAAAACGAAGAAGGTAGCGAACAAACCTTGTTTTCTGTGGTTGTTCATCTTGGCTAATACATCACAAATTTATATGGTAGCAGAAATCACGTGGAAAAGGTTAAGATCGGGGATACATACACTTTAGAGAGATAGAAATCAAAGAAAGGGGGGTCGAATGAGAGATAGGTCAATGGGTCACGGAATCAGGTAAGTGAGCCCCACTATCAGATTCTGCTTGAAGGACGAATTGCCACGTTCTACCAGCAGCTTTTGTGTGTGCCCATTTGTATGCTCGTGCCGGGCATCATACGTTGGTCGTACGTCAAGACATTTGTCGGGCGGAATGCAAGAACACAATCCCGTGTCTCTGAGTGGTAGTGGAAAGAAACCAGGGTCAAGCGCGATTGCATCACATTTGACCGGAACCTGTCATGTCATAGGCAAGGAGCAATCCTTCACCATCACATACCGGGTACCTCTGAACCGATCACGACTAGTACGACCCAGACTACTATCGATCGCAGAGGCGATTGGAATCCGACTGCTGGATCCACAACTTTGAGTCCAAAAGAAACTTGTGCGACCTCTGAACTTGAACTAGCCTACGAAACATCCGGTCCCACAGATCTGTATGACATTGACGTCACTTACCTGATTCCGTGACCCATTGACCTATCTCTCATTCGACCCCCCTTTCTTTGATTTCTATCTCTCTAAAGTGTATGTATCCCCGATCTTAACCTTTTCCACGTGATTTCTGGTACCATATAAACTTGCGATGTATTAGCCAAGAGAAACAATCACAGAAAACAAGCTTTGTTCTCTACCTTCTTCGTTCTCATGACTACCACGGGTATATTCAGCCGCTCGGTTGCGAATATTTTCTAATGGCTGATTGAAATATATTACTGAGAAATTCACTTTTCCTGAATGCAAGTGGTCCATATTCGCCTCAAATGTAAAGCCAACAGTCAACATTTGGCTTCGAATGAAACGGGAGAATAGCTTAGCTAGTTTCACTGTTTATAACCAGCCTTTGTGACTATTTTGAATTGAACTCACACGACTGACCAGAACATTGTTCCACTGATACCCAACTGGTCACTGATTGGCTACTTGTTTCCGTTCTTTGTGCAGCGATACTACTTGTAAGTAGTACCAATATCTGAGAAAATTGTCTTGTAGCAGTTTTCTTCATGTCTAACTGGTTGTCTTCCTAGACATTGAACAGACAACATTCACTTGGACGTTTGAAAATGTCCAGATGCCAGGGTGGGTCATTACGTTTCTTTTATCGTCCTTGTCCGTTTCGGGATTCGAATCCCGGTACACACGAGAATAATAGGTTGAAACTCAAATCCCCCGGGGTGAACTAATCATGTAATCATGAAGATGTAGAGTATGTACTCCAAATCCAGTTGGATCGCTTCAAGTGGCTTTGGAGCACGTTCTCGGACCTCTAAGTGAGCCGACGCAGCCCAGTAGACTCATACCACTTGGATTAGATCCTACCTTACCAATCCGTGCGATCCTAACAGCTGATCTCTACCTCTATCATCAGTTAATACGTGAGTCTTGACAATACATTTGGTTTTCATTAATCTTGGTCGCAATACGAAAATGAGTGGTCATAATTAGTAGGACAACACAAAGTGTCCATGAGATTCCTCCACTTCTTTTCAATCAGAGTAACTGGTTCACCGCCACACGTCAGAGAACTCACGCACATTTAATGCTCGGTGGGTCAAAGCAATTTGGCCCCCAACTTCATGCCGAGAAGATGACTCTTTTGCCCCGACTCTTATCAGGTCGCGTTGAAGCTCTTCCCCGCCTGGGTCCGCACAGCGATGGCCACAACTACACAGGCGAACAGTGAGGATATCAGCAAACCAGCTACGAAGCTTGATGAACAACCCAAAAACCTGTCAACCAGAAGTCGTCCTACGTTAGACGCTGGAGATTTAGAGCCGCTGGAAGGATTCGAATTCATTGAACGACCTCACCCTAGGCGCTTCAGATAAACGTGACGTTCAGAACGCGTGATGAGCTCAAACACTCCTTTGAAAGGATTGACCACACGCTACTCGGAACTATTTAACCTGTAAGTCTAGATGCGCCTATTCGAGTCCTGCTGTGGATGAGGGAAAATCGCAAAGCGATACTACTGCTTAGTATGTTAGTAGTAGTAGTGGCCGTACTGCTGTTGAAAACAAGATTTCAGAGAGCGCAAATCAGTCTATTCTTTCCTCCGATGAAATCCACAGAGGGTTCAATACTGTGGAACAGTCTGCAGTGAACTGGTCGTAGTAAGTGATGCGGAAGAAGTGAACAGTGCAGGAAACCGCAGCTCTCGGGTACACCTTCCAATTTTCACTCGTTGGTTATATTGCTGTCAAATTCGCGCATATGCGTCAGTCGAAGTTGCGGGCAGCCGGTGAACTTCGCTTACAGTATGCTCGTTCAGACAAGTATCAACCCGTACGTACATACATCCAGCCGACCGGCACAATCCAACACAGTGTAGATCTGACTACCTTCGTGGCATGGCAAAACTATGAAATGGAGTTTGAAGTTAAGCTAGAGAGGGACCGTACCTACAAGTGCATATGACTGGCAGTCGGCCTTAACAAAATATCCGAACGGACGGTTAACACTTGTCAAAAAAAGATCTGTTGTGCGTCTAACGATCTTTCACACGGTGATAGGCCAAGGTGTCGAAACAAGACGATACATTGTGTTTTGCAATAAGCTGATGGAAAACTAGGCTGTGAGATAGGGAGTGAGAACAAGGCGAGTGTCACATGTCGAGAAACCACACTTCACACAATATGGTATCATCTCGCCTCGCGCAACACCTGCCGTTTAAGTTGGAAATCTATCCGTTTCCATCAGAACTACTCGAATGGAAACTACTCACAAGGTTGCTGAAAACTCCTCGACAGCCCACGACCGGTTTCGCCCTTCTTGGGGCTCATCAGGTAGGCGCAGTCCCCGGGTTTCCGTCAACCTTATGTTCTACTTGAACCCAAACTGGACTGTTTTCCAGAAATACACTTATTTGCCGACTGAAACATGAGGCAGCCTGTCTGCAGCACATTTAGTTGTAGAATATCATAAACAAGAGTTTACTTGAATGGAACTTTGAAAATGGTTTTTTGACTTATCAGTTCAGGGGGAACGCACACTCCGAACACCCGAGGAATAGATGTGTCGAGCGCCAAACCCTAGGTGCAACAAGGTGACTGATGCAGCGATATCACTGTCGCTTCTATGAACTTGCTGACAGTCTGCTCTGGGAGCTATCGAACTCGCTTCTGTATAGTTCCGCAATTAATGAAGAATATAGTAGCCTACCTACCAAGAAGGTTCACTCAGACCCTCCATCGAGCGTTCCACCTGAGTAAAAATTAAGTGTGCAATTTATTTAAAAGAAGGGTAACAAAGGCCCCCTTTCCACTTGGTTAGTCGTCCCGGAGGAAGGCTATAATGAAGGGACAGGGGAAGGAGAGACAGTGCCACGGGAAACAGTCGATTAGTAAGGCCGGGTCGTCGAAAGGTAATTGCTTCATGGTTGAGGATGGGGTGCTTTACAAAAGGTCACAACAACACTACAAAAAGTCATACTAGGGTTGATCTAATTTAGCACCTTCATCCAACTAACACTCCACTGACATATAAACCAAAGCGTGCTCCCTGAAAACCGTCGGGATGAATACATGGGTCATGTCAAAGAAGGTACCTGTACGAAGTACACCAAACTGCTATGGATCTGGTTCTCTGCGGAAGGTTACTACATTAAAATAAACTGAGGCATTACAGCAGTACAAAAACCATGATAGATGCACTGAGGATAAGTTGGAGACCTCAAAAGGCCATCATCATCTTTCTCTAATCATCACCATCACCGCCATAATCGATAACCGTACGCCAATGATAGAACTGGAGCTTATATGCAATCCAGTCACAAAACAAGAAGTGGAAACATTCGGGGAGAGTTTGGACCTGGTTTCAAGGAAACCTAAAACTCTGAGGAAAACAATCAGAACAGCTTCCAGCTTTAAACAGTGTTGAACGAATGAGCGAGTGAGTGAGTGAGTGAGTGAGTGAGGAGTGAGTGAGTGAGTGAGTGAGTGAGTGAGTGAGT